ACATTACTTTCTTAAAAATAGAAAATTTGGTGCTCAAATTGGCGGTTGTATACGTGCCATATACAATACAACTAATTAAGCCTAGCTATCTGAGATGATCACCCAATCATTGGGACGAATAATGATACGCAGACAGCCAAAAGTCCTTAGCGTGATATTTTATGTTACAAATCAATTTACAATTTTGTCATAGATTATTAATTAAAATAATCAATTCAAATATAGTAGTTTGTTCCCTTTTAACCGCTATTTCTGGTAACTTCACCCAAGTAAGGCCAGAATCATGGCATAATAATTTTGGATGGGTAGAGTTTGCAAATTTTACCAAAATTTATTGTTAAGTTAAGAAAATGTTATGGTAATATGGCATATCACGTAACTATATAGTAATACAGATGCACTTTTTTGCTTGAGATTTTTTGAAGAAGGAGCATCCTAAAAAAGTTTATGGCATTAAAGGAAGAATATAATCACTATTCTATTTCAAGTTATGTTAATAATTATAGCTTAATTGCAATTAGTTGAACTTTAAAAATAGAGTTCTTTTGTAATCTAGTATGTACAATCAAAACTAAGGATTTGTTTAGGTCATCCAAAATCACAGCCTTATATTTATCCTCATACAATCTAACAAGACTCTTTTTTTTTATTTTCAGCAAGTGGTATGGAGCCAAGAAGGTTACGCCCATAATTATACTCATAACATAATTAATATTTAAATAAATCATTAACCAGCTAGCAATAATATGTCAATAGGTTGGATTTGTCCTAACCCAAGACAATTTTTTTGGGTGGGGGGAGGGGGTGGAGCTTTTACATAGAACAAAATTGGGATACACTCGTAAATGAATGAGAGAAGTTGTCCAACTTATTAATTTTATGAGTCTACTATTTCTAGATCCAAAATAATTTATGGGGCCAATCACGAGACTAAATGGCGTATCATTCATATTATTTTCTTTAGATTTCAACCAAGATCAATGGCTATTATAGAGACATCCCCTATCTCATTATTAATCCCGTGATTTCAAAATTATTTTCTCTAATTTTTTAATAAAAATTTAGATCAATCATATTCACGCACATTCACTAGCTAGTTAAAAATTATGCGTAATAAATGAAGCTAAATAGCTTGTATACAACTACATGTTACCTGAAAACCATCACATGCGGGACCACCACAAGAATATATGTTGTGTTGTGCATGAATCATGATAGATAGAGATACAGGCCTATTAGAAGAAGGGAAAAAGAAAAAAAGAAAAAAATAATAACAACAACAACAACAACACATAAATAATTAAATAAACTGGAAATTCACCTAGCGAAAATTCAGTCCCATGGTTAGTGTTTATGCTCACTTTCATGCCCTCATTTAGAATTTATATACATCTTTAGGTTCTGTTTGGCAAAGATCAAGGCTGATAAATAATTCATATTATAAAAATGGTTGTCAATTTTGCTAGAATTAAGCAATTATGCATGGTGCATGTTTAATACTTTGAATAAGGTTTAATAAAACTAATATTTGGTAAGATGGGAAGGTTTAATTAGGTCAACTCTTTTTACTCAATAATATATCAATCTTACCATTTTTCTGTTTTTTATGAAAAGAAAATAATACATAACTCGATAAATTGTTGCGTCTTTATATTTATGAGCACCAATTATATACTAATGAGATATAAACAAGTAGAAATTTTTTTATTTGGTGTGGGAACTTCCCCACAATCCTTCGAACCATGGACCATATGTATCAAACCCCCTGGCATGGCTAAAGGGCACCCGGCCCAATGCACGATTTTAGGTATTCTACGAAATTAAATTTGTGTGGGTGCTCTCTAGGAGAGTCGAAACCGGAGATATTAGAGTACTACTCATAAACAGCTTACCAACTCAGCTAGACCCTATTGAGTATATCAACAAGTATATAAACAAAGCTACAATCTTGTTTATATATTTGTTTATTTATAATACCATAGCTCCAATCAACCCGCATGGTTAGCTCAGCAGTGTAAGGTCCTACTGAGCTCCTGTTGCAGGACGATCCATAGCAGAAAGTCCCGTGTTTTGAATCCCCCAATAGGTAAAATTAAGAAAACGCTTAGTCCAGCGCCAGCCATGAAGCGTGAGAGGGGATTGATCCCATCCGAAATGTGTGGGCATACATTGTGGGAAAACCAAAAAAAAAATAGAGAATGCCTATAATTAGTTAGGTGGTCTAATACTATTGTATTGTCTCAATGGGTTCCATAATTTAAAGTACTTTTATATTATTTAGATTGAGTAGAATTATCAATTAGTGAACTGTAGAGATCCTCTACAATATTCAAGTATGTAAAAATCTCTATCCGTGAACATACATTTGAAAAATAGAAAACAACAATGTCAATTTACATCACCTTCACTTATCATCAACATAGAAATATCTCATATCCTTTAGCATAAGAATAAAAAACCATGTGAAAAGTAAAGTTCATAAGAAGGATTCTTAAGATTTTACAGATTCTTTTATTTATTTATTTATTCATCTTTTAAATAATCTTAGTTCTATGTGCATGGGGGTTACTAAACCTACTTGTCACCTAGATTAACTTCTCTAAAATACAATGGCATGTTATCTTGCATGTATTAAGCAACCCTAATTTAAATAGTTATTACAAAGAATATTCAGCAATTATACATGCATACATTTACATGATCTGTACATAGTCAAAATGTAATCCTCGGATTAGTTCCAAACCCTACTAAAATTTTGGAGCTAATGACTCCACCAACACCACCCCATCCATTCATCGGTCGCCATGTCGCCATTTTTGCTACCTAATTCCAGGGGTAAGAGCACAGATTAGCACATAATTAACTGGGGACTAAACAAACAAGGAGGACTTAGAAAGAAAAGTATGTAGTATGTAGTTAGAAAGAAGGTCTTGTAAGCAACCACATATTGAAACAAACACTTAATTCCAAAGGGAAAGGTTTTGGGAGAAGGACACAAGGAGTGGAGTTTCAACAACACACGTCACAAAAACTAACATCAACCAAAGGAAATAAATTATAATAAAGGTCCGGGTGGGGACACAAATTTACTAATAGCCAACTAATCATGTCCATTATTTAAAGCAAGGGATGATTAGAGGTTAGATGTCACTATATCATTGTTAAAAATATAGAAAAACACATTATATTATTAAATAAGCTAAGAATTAGATTAAGAAACCCACTTGAATTAAGAAGTTTGGGTATAAAATATAGG